ACACACACACACACACACACACACACACACACACTTCTGATTCAGATATGTTGTTCCCTTTTCATTTAGCCCAGGCTAAAAATCCCTGGTACACATATCTTCCAATAGACAGCCCTCTCTCACGCTCTCTCTTTGGATAATCAGGATATACAGCTCATTTGTTTGTTCCTTTCTTTATTCTTATTTCCTCACTATTTTTCTCCTGTTCTTTTCCTCCTTTATTCCTTGCCCCCTCTCTCAATGTCTTATTTTACAGCCAATATTGTATCTGCTTCAGAAAAGAGCCCCCATTTTACAAATGGGTCAAAATAAAAACGAGGGGAACCTGAAGGAACAGGACAAGTTACTTGTTCTGTCATTGTTCGGGCATATCCCCCCCTCTCCTCTCCCTCAGCCCATCCCTTTCCCAGGTGTGTGTGGTTCTGCCTCCAGCTTCTGTTGCCTCCAAAGCCATCCCTCTGATGGCCTTACTGCTCTTTTCTGCCTTAGGACTAGCCTGTTCCAAAAATCCTTCTGATCCTTTCTCCCTCCCATCATCCTGCTGGCTGCTCCCCCTTTCCCTCCCCCTTTCCCACTCTGGCCTTTTTATCTTGTGGACTTTTCCTCCCACCTTCCAGCTGCTCTGTCATTTCCTTTGGATCCTCCTTAGGAGATGCTGCTCACACTTTAGTTGCTGGATCCTCCTGGTCCAATCAGGTACAAAATAATAATAATAATAATAATAATAATAATAATAATAATAATAATAATAATAATAAAATAACTGAATGCCCAAAGCCAAAATGCCTGGAACTAAAGGGGAAAAGGAGAGGAAGACAGGCTCTATAACAGCCCTTGGGGTCTGGAAGAGTGATTAGCCCTTTGGTCAATGTCAAGGAAGGGACCAAGAAGCCTGTCACTGGGAATTGCCCTCTCCTGGCAAAGGACAAAAAGGTGAATTCATCTCCTCCTTGCCTCTGCTACAGGGAGCCCCCAGGCCTCCTGGGGTCACTTCCACCTGCTGATGCTGGATGCAATGAACAGTGAAGCAGAGGCAGATCCATCCTGATGCTCAACAAGTTTAAGCTTCAAGAATCCCACACTTGTGTGAAGCCCCTATTTTGCTTAAGCAGGGCCTACCAAATTGTATATGCTTTGTCTGTCAGCACACCTGGACCTGCCCCTGGAGAGCGAAAAGCTTTTCTGGCTTCCAGGGGTCAAGGACCAATAAATAGGGAAGCCAGGAGGGCTCTAAGTAGATTGATTTGAAACAGGCTTCAGTTTACTACACCCTGCCTGTATTGAGAGGGCGTCCTCCCATGGGGGACCCAGGGTTCCTACATGAGCTCGTAGCTGAACCCAGACTCTTAGCTGAATTCTTCACTCCAGGCCTCTGGGCCACGCCCAGCTCAACCCACCCGTTTTCAGCCTCTCACGGCCTCCCCTGGCAGCCCCGGTCCAGCAGGTGCCGGGACCTCTGGCAAGCCGAGGTTTCCGTAGGCCCGCTGCCCGCTGCTCGGTTCCTTAAGGCGTAGCTCTCAATCTGCCAGTTCAGAAGCGACCTCGACTACGAAGGTGAAGACATGTCGCCAGCAGGGTCACCGCTGCTTTGAGACCCTCCCTCGGCCCCTGGATTCACAGAGCCCGTTTAGGGTCCGCACGACCTTCCCCTCGGAAGCCAGAGCTGCGCTCGCCTCACTGAGCTGACAGCTGCCCCAATGCGCCCTCAACCTGGGGTGCTGCTGCTCTCCCCGGGAACCCCACGCTTGCAGCTCCTCTGTTCCCCGCAGATGAGACAAGCGAAGGGGTCCCGGAAAGCAGACCCGGCAGAGCAGAGGCTTGAGGACCGGATGCTGCGAGGAGAGGCACAGATCCGGGAGGGAGTCCCGGGGGGTCACCGGCGAGGCTACGTACACTGCGGGGACTGAGCGGGGCACGGCTCTGGGATCCCGAGGCGCCGTGTCGGGCGCGGAACTGGAGACGGTTCCGCAGAGCCCGCCATCGGCGGGGCCGGGTCACGAGCCGCCCGCCCGACGGCCGGGGGGCGCCAGCACTTACCCGGCAGACTCGGGAAAGTCTCTGCGAAGTGCGGGCGCGGCGGCGGCGCGGGCTCTGCCGCCGTCTCCCGGGCGGGCGGCAGCTCGTCGGCGTCCGGGCCGCCCTCGGGGCGGCGGCCGCCGGGCTCCGGGGGGT